ATTAGAAGTGGGCCCCCAAGTGAGAAATAGCGCGCGCGCCTACACACACACACACACACACACACACACACACACACACACACACACACACACACGCACATCAGAGCTACATGGAAAAGGGGAAGGCAAAAGACCGCAGGAGCCCATAAGATGGCTTGGCAGCAGAGAGTCTTAGAATCGCTGGACAGCTAAATTGAGATACCTCACGCCCCCACACCAGAACTGTTGGGACAACAGCACAGAGGAGAACTTGAGGATTCTGGGGAGACAGTTAAAATGCTCTGCGTCCAAAACAGAGAATTGTTTTGCCTGTGATGTTTTTCTTCTGTGTATCTCCTTTCACTCCAGTGAGTGTCAGGAAGAGGGACTCTTTTTAAAGGAAGACTAGAGAAAGGAGAACAGGACCAGCCTTGTTTCTGTGAAGCAGGTGCTGTTGCTGAGCCTGTGAATCGGGGGTGGCGGGGTGGGTGGGTGGGGGGGCTGAGCAAGGGAGAAAGGGAGGGAAAGGAGGAAAGAATGAGGGATAAAAATATTAACTTTGAGTTGAAGGGTGTGAATAATATATTTTTGATATTCTAATAGAAGTGTGAAGCTGAGATACATTCTACTTACTGGTGAACTACACTAAATTTTGGTAAGAGCAGGGTAGAGAGTCATTGTTGAAGAAACATCCACTTCAATAGAAGAGCTGGAGGCTGAAACTGTGGGGGGACTCCCATGAAGTCATGTGATGAGGAGGGCTATACAGAGAAGAATAGTGAGAAAGAGAGAGAAGTGTCTGGATTGAGTTTCCTTGAGTTAAGAGCGACATTACAGATCACTTTGCAAAGAATTAGAAAAAAAGAAGAGCTCAGAGGTTTAATGTGTGCTAAAGCAGTATATATCTGGGCTAGCTAAGAAGTGACCAGTGACCGTTAGCCGGATGTTCTGAAAGGGTGAGGAAAGCTGAGAAACTGCATCTTGCCTACAAACCTTCATTCCTATCACTCCTGAATTCCACTTGTTTCCTCCTCTGCATCCTATTCAAGTTATTCCTTCTTCATGCTGCAGATGTCTAAGCTATAACACAAGCCAGAGAGTGGTGGTCCCATGGAGTCCCCAGATCTTCAACTAGGATAAAATACCTTGGTAAAACGCTGAGAATTTAACTGCTTCTGTACTGCAGAGGTGGGGTTGTCCCCAAGATTTCTAGAGACAGAGGCCCACTGAACCTGTCCCAAGTAAGAACACCTTGGAGGTCAGGGTTCTTGTGATATAACTTGAGGAAGTGAGAAAATGGCTGAATGGGTAGAACAGAGGTAACTCATGTCGATGGAAAGAACAAAGGGTCAGGATCTCTGGGGGGGGGGGTGGTGAAAGGGGGTGGCTGCTTACTGATATCGTGAAAATAAAGGAACTTCGCTGTTTTCTTCTGTGGTGTCTTAAACCACCCAATGGTATTTTAATGATGAAAAATATACATTAAAAACTCGACATGAGTTCATCAGATGAATGTGTATGCGTTGATGCAACCCCTGTTCACATTTCCAACATGATAAGAAGCAAATGATTGCTCCTTCTTAGTCAAAATCTTATACACACCCAAAGAGAACTGCTATTCTAATACCCATTCCCAAAGAATGTTACTTGCTCTTAAATTTTGAATATATAGAATATTAGTGGTCTGAGCTTTATTTATTTCATTCATTATTGTGTCTTTGAGGCAGGAAGCTGATGACTATCTGAGTTGGTTCCATGCTTTAATCTATTACTATTAGTGAAACTGCTCATAATGTTCCCATGTTTATCTGTTGGTGCACACACACTATCTCATTTCTTCTGGATAAACATCAAGTAATATAAATCACTGAATTTACTTTTTACACCTACAATGGAGAAATTTATGTGGCAATGATTCAAAAGTGTATTTTCTGTCTGAAGAAGTTATATGTGTAGTGACAACGCTGAGGGTTATCACCATTAAACAACAACTAAATGTCTGAATGTATTAGATCCTTTGCATATATAATCTCATTTCTTTTTCACAAACACCATACAAATTATGTATTGTTATTATTATTATTATTATTTGTGTATTACTGTTATTGTTTAAATACTACAAATAAAAACATTGATTACAAGAAAATGAATTTAGTATCTGCACTGAATATGTATATGCGTGTGTGTGTGTGTGTGTGTGTGTGTGTGTGTGTGTGTGTGTGTGTGCGTGTGTACATGCTCAGTGAATGAGCTAAGAGAACAGGAAGTGATGGAATTTCTCACTTCCACAGAAAGCTGGAAGTTTATCTGAGGAGTTTGGACAACTTGAGGAATGAACACTGTATATCATGTGAACAGAAGGGCATGGGAGGAGTGAAAATGGGAACGAGGCTTTACTTTCATTGGTGTGTATATGTGTGAACACATATTTGGGGGAGATGGTGATCAGGGAATGAGATACGGCACAGTGAACAAGCAATCTAGGCGGATAAATAATGTAAGAAATGACTAATTCATTAAATTTCCAAGCCACAGAAATTTGTAGAAAAGCTACAATAGAAGGAAGAAAGAGTTCATGAATTTCTGGTAACAGGGGTGCTTGGGTACAGAACTGGCTGATAAGGAAAGCAATCAAAAAGGTATTACAAGAGTCAAGAAAAGAGGCCACTGACATTTAAATATAGAACAGTGGACCTCAGGAGAAAAGTCAGACTTACAACTAACAAAACTTGGTATTTTGTAGTTTTAAATAGTACAAATATTTGCTTGTATGCTATCTATGGCATGGGATGTGGATAGAGATGCTTGAGCTTATTCTATTCATAAAAAAAAATAAAGATGAACATGGTTCAGATTCTCCTCCAAAGGAGAGTATGAAGGCAGGCCTTGAAACACATCTGTTGTTTTGCTACAGCACATTCCTTTTACACAAAAGTGATGACTGAGACACACCCACATCCCCTTATCCCACTTAAATGTAAAGTGTTGTGCAGGAGATACTGTCTGGTTTCTATGAATTGCAGTTTCTATCCTCATCACTATGTGTACGGGAAACAAGTGTCTTGGCAAAATGTGTTGTCCTTTTGTTCCCATAGCCTCTATTGTTAAACTCTTCTGTGGAAATTGGCAACATAAAAGGAATCAAGATGTCAACATCCAACACTCCCAACTATAACATTTTAAGAAGACTCCATCATGACTTATGGGGAGCCAATCTGACGGTGCTTCACGTGTGCTTTCTAACACAACACTTGATCTTTTCAAAATTAAGAAGACTTAAAATTATAGTAGATTACATACTATTTAAAAGTAAGAGGGTTATTCTTTCTGCCCATGCTCTGATGGATGCCCAGGAAAAAGCAGGTAGTTGGTATTTGCTGAATGAATTGCTGTCATCTATGAAATATTCTTTGTGCTTCAGTTGCACATGTTTTTTTTTTAGATTGATCTCATCAAGCACTTGACTGTTCTGTTGGTCTTAGTTTCTTCATCTGTTAAATAAGCCATTGGGCTAAGAGATGATCTAATAGTTGCATGCCATTTCTCACATGCCAGGGCTACTCAGTTTCATGGCCTCACTTTATTCCATGGCAAATCATTTTGTTTATCTATGTCTCATGCTTTTCTCTATACTGGAGAAGAGGAAAAGAGTTCATGAGGTCTTTACATCCTTTAGCACTCTTAGGGGAGCAATGAAGATGACTGGAAAGCCCACTAGCTGATATATCCCTTTTCAGTACTTCGCAATGATATGTGCTAATATACCTAGGCATTAATTTTCAGATATGTCAAGTTTAAGAAAAGAACATTCATCAGTTCTTTTCTTTTTCTTTTTTCCTTCCATTCCTTAAATGTGACCTTAAACATTGATGGGTCAACTAGATTGAACTATTCAATTAGATTAATTTTTTAGAATGCATAGCACATATTTTTGTCTTTTAAAGGGCACATATTTGCATTTGTCAATAAATTACACCGGGTAGATTGGGACAGCAATTATTTCAAAGCTGGGGTCCTAAATGAGAAGGTGGTGAATTCCATTTCTAGAGTAGGAACTGAGCTAAGCACAGTCTTCCAGCCCCTGGTGTTTGAATCAGCACTGAAGAGGGGATGCTGGAAGAGCATACTTCTGAAGTAAGTCATTGCTTATCATGTGGAAATTCAGGCAAATATCAGATGCCAGCATTCCCAAAATTTCACCTATCTTATACAGTTTATGGCATACAGCATTTAATGGCATCGACCTGCTCTAGTGGAAGGAGAATTTATATGAACTCTGGGTGGTGGTGCTGTTGCTCCTAAAAATACTTAGTAGGGGTGTGTGTGTGGGGGGGGACTAAACATTTACCCTGTTCTTTTCTTGACAGAGTTTGGAACAATCTTGATCACAACCTGTGATATTCTTTTATTACTTTCCCCCTGATTAGGACACCTGAGAAACTATGGTTCTCACATATCCTTTCTGCTCTATTCTATTTATTACTGGATTTTCTGAAATTAAATGCTTAACGTTTCTTTGAGACAAGTCTGGTTTCCCTATCAATCACAGGATCTTCTTCATCTTTTTATTGTTTATTGTATATAACATTTGTGACAGAAACGATATGCGTAAGTTGCAAGTGAAAGTTCTCTTTTGCTCCACATTGACTTCCTTCTTTGTTGTTCATCTTTTTTTCAATTGCTCTATCTATATCAATATTGCAAATGTTATCTTTAAATTTTCTGTAGAGTCCATATTGGGTCAAAATGTATACATGTGCATTTTTCTCAACACCTTCTTAATCCAACAAACAAATCCAACTAAGAAGTTGTTTTTTTCAAAGAAGAAGAAAAAGAAGAGGAGGAGGAGGAGGAGGAGGAGGAGGAGGAGGAGGAGGAGGAGGAGGAAGAAGAAGAAGAAGAAGAAGAAGAAGAAGAAGAAGAAGAGAAGCCACACACACAAAACCCAAAAAGACGATGTACATTTTTATCTAGAATGACACCCCTCGCCTCCCTCCACCTGCTTTGAAGAAGAGCTCTTTAAGGTGTGTGCCAGTGTATGCCTTTTCCCGAGCCATTTGGATGATGCTGCCACAGGAGATATTTTTGCATTACAAAGACGCAGTTCTAAAAATGCAGAGCAGGTAGTTAATAACTAAGAGCCTGGGGGATGGAAAGGAGGAGAGAGGCAGGAGCATCATCAGCCAGCTGGGGGCTGACCTGATTCCCTAGAATCCCCAGCCCTCTTCCTCTTTCCTCCCAACATCCTTCCTTCCCTTTTTCTCGTCCCCCACACCCCCCTTTTCCCTTTCCCAGATAAGCAGCTCCGGGAAACAAAGAGCTGGGCTCTCCAGACCTCAGCGCTGGAACCTAGGGCTCTCTGAGAAGCATCTCATTTCGGGGACCAGGGCTCTCGAGCTCTGTGTCCCCTCCCCAACCTCCCCCCGCCTCCCTAGCTTGCTCGCTGCTCCCTCCCTGCTCGCTGCCTCCCCCACCATAGCAGCGCTGGGAGGAAGGCGGCCAGGGCTCAAGATGGCTTTAGCCGGGCTCTGCGCCCTGTTCGCCTGCTGCTGGGGGCCCGCTGCGGTGCTGGCCACAGCTGCCGGCGACGTGGATCCATCCAAGGAGCTGGAGTGCAAGCTCAAGAGCATCACGGTGTCGGCGCTGCCCTTCCTGCGCGAGAACGACCTGAGCATCATGCACAGTCCCTCGGCCTCCGAACCCAAGCTCCTCTTCTCTGTGCGCAATGACTTCCCGGGAGAAATGGTCGTGGTGGACGACCTAGAGAACACGGAGCTACCCTACTTCGTGCTGGGTGAGTCCCTGGAGAGGTCGTAGAGGCCGGAGGAGGCGCTGGACGGGTGCCCCCACCCCCCACTCGGCCCGCTCCACACATCCACTTGCTGCCGCCACCTCCCCTCCCCCACACTATCTCCCTGGATCCGCCCCACTGCTGGACCTCTCTACACACCCACTTGCAGGCCAGGCCGGCACTTTGGCTTTAGTGCACCTGATGTCTCCCCAAATCCAATCAATCTAGGGACCCGACCCCCCTTCTCAGCTGCCTTGCCCCAAAGGAACAGGTTGCTGGAGTGTCTCTGAAACCTTCCTTAGCCTTGAGCTGGGAGTTTTCATTCAGGAACACATCTGAACAGCGTCAGTTTCCAGCCCAACTCTTACAGGCCTCTCTCTCTGCTTGCAAGCCACATGCTTAGCTCTTTGCTTCACACCTTTGGGCACCCATACCCACCCATCGCCATCCCCAGGCCTTAGGAACAGGAATTCTGTGGTCACCTTGCCAGTATGTGCATGCCTCACTGCAAGAGCTGATCATCACTCATCCAGAGCTCTGACACCCTTCCTTCCAAACAAGTTTCTTATGTGACTGGAGTTCATCTTGGGAAGTTGTACCTCCATGCCTAAAGCTAACAACCTCCTTATCCAGGTACCTCCACATCCCCATGATGCTTTAAAGTCTCTTGTTTAAGGAAATGGCCCAAATGCGTAGCTCAACTATTTCTTTTGCTCTCCTCTGCTCTCTAAACTTCCTTGGGTAGGTATAGATATTCATGCACACAGGATGGCCTCCCTGGGCAAGAGGCTTTTCTGCCCTTTGTTTGCATCTCTCTGATCCCTTTCTCATAATTTTCCAAGAGTCACAAAATTCCTTCAGATAATGAATCTTGTGTCACTTTGACTCTCCCCTTTTTGTTTTCATTACCAGAATCTCGTAACATCTCTCTACTTCTCCATCTGAAGCTCCACGTCTCTCCATATTGCCCACACCCAACTGTGCAGTCCGTTTCTCCAAAAGAGAATGGACATAGTCTCACAACATGCTTCACATATTCTGATTTTGTTCAGGAGAGAAGTTAAGGATAACCAGAATTCAGTCTCTAGGTTGAGAGAGAGAGAGAGAGAGAGAGAGAGAGAGAGAGAGAGAGAGAGAGAGAGAGAAAGAGAGAGAAAGAGAATGTCCAGGATACCACTACATTTACTTAACATCCTACAAACTCAAACTCAAGTTCACTTTACATGAATGTAGTTCCCTGCTGGCCATGTGTAGGTTGAAGCCACAGGTGAAATTATAACCTCTTTCCCTGGTCTTCTTTCACAAAGATGCATCTTTATACCAAGAACATTTAGGGAGTAGGTGAGTAAACCCCCATTCCTGAACCACAATGGAAAAGTAATTTTAAAAATTGCCTGGTCCTATGAAAAGTTCATTTACAGTTCCTGGTGTGCAACTCAGTTAAACCCATTGAAGCCAACCTACACACTTGAATGGATTGTTTTATTTTTTTGCAAGAAAAATACCAATAACATAATAAAGACTGGGGGCTGGCTAGAAATAGGAACGGTGTGGCTGTGCTACTCATTACAGCATATAATTTGTTGAGTTATTCAGTGGATGTAAAGTTCATGTTGAAGTCATGCTGATGTGCAAATACAATCTGTTCGTCATGCTTTGTAAGAATGAATGTGGAGAATTATATGTTTCTAAAGAGGCTGTTTGGAGTTCTGCATGCAGTATTTACTGTGCATAAAGGTGGACATATGTGGATAAAAAGGGGAGTTGGGCTTGCAGGTTCTGAGAACTCCACTTCTCTTTTTGAAGAATCCCAAGGCAGGACCATATAATGTGGTATACCTATATGAGCTAGATGTCCAAAGCTCAGATGTTCAATAATGGGTTTTCTGTGTCTTTGTACAAAACTGTCCACTGCAGCACCCTGTTGGGGTTGCTATGGTAACCTACTGCACTAAGGCATTTGCACAGAGGCACAGGCACTTTCACTTCAGAATCAGAAAGTGCATGATTGTTCTCCAATCTCTCAGTCACCAAAATATGCTCAGAAACAGTGATTTGCTAGTGTCTGTCCCTTTTGGCCTGGAATTCTCAAAGGAGCAGCATATAAGTGAGCAGAAAGGGAGAGGAGTCCAAGGATACTTGTTCTTAAAGTTAACTTTTGTGGTCCTGAATGCTACAACTCAAGACTCATAGTGAGGGATGTAATAATCTGTGATAGATCTCTTCTCACACTTCTCTGGAAGCAAACCAGCTACCAGTCAGTAGTTCTGGGAATTTATGAAGCTCATATTTCTTAGCTCTCTTTGCTACTATCAGGACTCAGAAGTTAACTAAAACATGCCTGACCCAGGTGCTTTCTAGTCAACAGGAACACAGATACTTGTGTGTTTGGGTGTTGACAAACAGGAATGCTGAAGAAAGAGATGCTTCTGTGAGATGAGCAGGCTCCATGGAGCACAGACTTAGCAGTGCCTTGGCCAAAATCAGGTCCTGTCACTCCTGGAAAAAACTGAGAATAAACAACAAAAACAAATGTTGGCTTTCTTTTGCTCTGAGGATCAAGTAAGATTTTTCTCATTCTAAGCAAGGGTCTTCAAAAGTGATCTTGCTGCCAACTTTTCAAGCGTCTTATCCTTTCAAATCAGCTTCAGTTTTCAGGATTCCTTTAAAATTTTTCACATGCCTCCTTCTCCCTAGAGGGCTCTTTATCCTTCCCTTGCCCACAGCTGTTCAGTTGTATGAATGTTACACCCATGTTATTTTTTTGTGAAGCCTACCCTAACACCTCCACAGACCACTGTCATCTGGAACACTTTTGTGTCTGTTTGCAAAGACTAGAAAGAATATATATATATCTATATATAAATATATAGATATATATATATATAAATATATAGATATATGAATGAAATAAAGGCTTATTTGACTTGGCTTTGTCTAGGAGAACTGAAGGTATTTGAGGTCATGTGGAAAGATTAAGATGATAATGGTGACTGTGAATACATGGATATAGGAATGGCCTGGCTATGTATGGAGATTAGCCTATCTTGACTAGTGTGGACCCTCAATATGGAAATGGTGGGAATTGCATGTGGTTCTGGAGAGTAGGTCAAGGCTCTCCACATGTCAGGCAGGGAGAGCTGACTAGACACAGAGAGCAGTGACAAGTGACATGTGGCTCCAGAGACTATCTCAGCTATCATCCCTGTCCATTTTACTTGTAAGATAGTCTCATGAGGTAGGGTAGAAGGAATCCTTGTCTCCTGTTCTGTTCTGTGAGGTGGAAGTTGCAGACTGTGGTACAAGGGTAAGATGGCACTTTAAGTTATGTCTTCTTTGACTATCCAAAGCTTTGAATTGGAAAGTTTATATTCTGATCCTGTCATCTTTAGCTTTCCTGCCTTTCCACAAATATGAATTTCATTGTGAATGATTGTCTTCTCTATGGTACTTGTCAGGCAACTCCAAGCTAGATAACACCTCTGCTTTCAGGTGTGTTGTGAAGAATTTTAAAGAATTGCAAAGCAACTATAATTTATAACTGAAAATATTTGGGTATATAAGCCATATTATCCTCTTGAGAGAATTCAAAGGTTTACTAAATTAATATCTCAACTAAAATTCTTTTCTCAGCTTTCATAATGGCAAATATTCCTGCTTTGGGGGCATATTTGATCATGGGGTAGAGTTAATGTGAAGAGGGACATCCAGCTTTTCTGTGCTGTGAATAGGATGTGTTTATCATTCCCAATAGCATCTGAAGAGGGTGTTCTTCTGCTTCAAACATAACTCTTGAGTCTTTGTATATATAGACCTCAGTGAAGAGATAGCTTATCCTTACACCTCAGTGTTTTGCATTAGCTGCTGTGGATTTAATGGAAGAAAGTACACCTAAGGATAAATTAGTTAACCTGTAGAGATATAGCAAGGGCCCACATACAAGATGCTGCCAAAAGTGTCTGGAGCAGTCCAGTGTGGTGGTTAAAAAAACAGGCTATGAAGGCAGATCTGATATCAGCCTCTGGCTTGCTACCCTTTCCATCAACAGAGAAGAATGAAGATCATTGGAGATAAATAAATTGCTCAAGGTCTCATTGTTAATAATGGATTGATCTGTCACTTAAACTTAGGACAGGTATGACATTTAGGCTTTTCTTTATGCCTTTTGCTGTATGCTTTAATATTTTTTCAAGATCTATCCTTTTATACAGTTAGATAATGGCTTTCTGGCAATGAATAGAATAGAAAAAATATACTCACCTGCTGTTTTATACAGAGAAATCCTTTGTGTGCAAATGTCTCTTGAACAGCTTTATCCATTTAGTGTTTCCTCACACAAGCCTTAATGCTGAAGGTGAACTCCATCAAGAAACACCCTAGAAGTTTTATTTGGTTATGAAAGATTTGGGAATTCTTATTCATATTCCTGTTCCTTTACTACTTGGAGGAATTTTATGGCATCCAGAGGCATGATGAACCTGCTGGGTGATGATGATGATAATAATATGTTCAATATTCTGAGTGGTGCCCCCCTAGAAATGCCAACTGAGAATATGAGGGGAAGGGGACAATGAGACCCTGCAGAAACACTGTGTGTGGCTCCTGTAGGAAACTTCTGATTTTTGTTATATGGTCTTGTGCTTAGAATCCACTGTCAGAGTCCAGTGAGCTCTCCTGTAGTGAGCAACTGGCTTCATATTCAACACTGAACAGCATTTTTTCCTTACAGGTGGGCTTTGAGCTAACATGAAACAATTGAAGTACTTCAGCATCCCCAACTTCATTTCACAGATCTCTCCATCTTCCATTAAAAAGGGATCTTTAAAATGTATTTCCTGTATTTCTCTTGCTCTTCTATACAATGAACTTTAGGTTAACAGTGAACACATTTAAACAGAGTGGCGACCTCATCTGAGACATAGTGGGATGAATGATGGCAATCTTAAGCTGGAGTTTTCAGCACTTAAACAACACATACAAGCAGAGCGTACTAATTTATAGCA